CAAACATACATGCATGTTTGCATGCATGTGTACACACACACATATATACATACATTCATGCAGGCATGCATTCTTGCACACAAGCAAACATACACACCTACACATACATACCTACAACCTAACACACACATACCCATACACACATGCACACGTGCATACATGTAGGCATGCATACAGCCATGCATACGTACACAAGTACATACACAAACGCATACATCCACGCGTACACACATTCATACATATTGCACACACCACAACGCATACACACACGTATACACATGCATACATACACATACATACATATATACATACATGCATGCATGCATACATACATACATACATACATACATACATACATACACACATTTACATTCATACATACATACACGTATACAACCTTACATACATACACACATACATTTACACATACATTCAACCATACACATAGACATACATTCACGCAACGCCCCACTATCGCTGATCAGAGTGAGGGGGTCAGGAGGGAAAGGAGGGGAGGGGGAGTCCGAGCTGCGAGCAGGCGTTCTTTCAGGCGCACTGCGAGCCCATGGATTCGATTCGAGGGATCCATGGGCTCGTGCTACGACGTAGGCGTTGGCTCCGATGGTGCGTCGAAGCGAAAGCGCGCTCGCGAACGGGAGCAATCGAAAGCGTGCCTTCGTCCGTGCGGCTGGCAGGGTCCTTGGCAAAACAAGCCCTGGCCACAGGCCCCAACCGTGGCTGCGAACGCTCCCGCTGGCACTCTCCCGATTCTGCCACGTCGCTGGCATGCTCCTGAGGGACGATGGAAAGCGGCGCGTGACAAAAATAATGGTTCAATCTTCTTTCTCCTGCTCCTCCCCCCCTCCCCTCTCCCTTCCGCCTTTCCTCCTCACCTCCTCGTCGCCCGTTTGCCTCACTCTCTTCCTTCCGACCGCCTCGGCATCGCCACCAGTGCCTTTCTCCTCCTCCCCCCTGGCTTCCTTCCCCTCCTCTCTGTTCCTTCCCGTCCTCCCCCCGCTCCACCCGCTCCCCCTTTTCCCAACCCCCCCTCCGGCTCAACCCGCGCTCCCAGCACGGCAGGCGACCGCGGCCACGGTGGCAGCGACCGAGGAGGCTACGGCGACAGGGGCTACGGTCTGCAGCCGCTCGACCCCTCCTCGGCGGCGTGCGTGGGTGTGTGGAGGCTGCCGCGTGGATGCCATGTCCTGGAGGAGCGCCAGGGTGGAGTTCAGGATTCCGCTTGCATCGCGCAAGCAGCTCAGACGCAGCCCCACTGCGCATACCGACAGGAGACGCCCAGCCGCACGGAGCATGGGCCAAACGCTGAGGAAGGCGGCCACTATTGCTCGCTCGACGGTTACGACGACGATGATGGCGGCGATAAAGCTGTTGCTGCTGCTGCTGATGATGATGACGCTAGTAATGGTGGTGATGATTTGAGGCTGACAATAGTGATAGTACTGATGATGATGATGATGATGATGATGATGATGATGATGATGATGATGATGATGATGATGATGACGATGGTGATGGTGATGGTAGTGATCGTGATGGTGATGATGATGACGATGATGCTGATGATGATACTCATGCTGCTAGTGATGATGTTTATGATCATGGTAATAACGATGGTAAGAACCATACTGATGATGATGCTGATGATGATGATGACTATGCTGATGCTGATGACTATGATGATGATGATGATGATGATGATGCTGATGATGATGATGATGACGATGGTTAATCCGATCATGATTATGCTGATGACGATCATGATGACCTTGAGCATGATGATGATGATGATGCTGATGACTATGATGATGATGATGATGATGATGATGATGATGATGATGATGATGCTGATGATGATGATGATGATGACGGTGTGATGATGATGGTAATGATGCTGATGATGACCGTGCTGACGACGATGCTGTTGATGAGGGATAATTATCATGATAATGATGATGCTGATGATGATGGTTGATGATGGTGGTGATGATGCTAGTGATGATGATGATGCTGCTGATGATGCTGGTGATGTTGATGATGGTGGTGATGCTGATGGTAGCGGTGGCAATGGTTGTATTTATGATGAGGATGATGGCCATGATAATGCTGTTGCTGCTGCTGATGATGCTAGTTTTGGTGGTGATGATGATTGGGCTGATAATGGTGATAGTGCTGCTGATGATGCGATGCGCAAGCTAGTGAGGATGCTGATGCTGGGTACGATGGTGATGTTGATGATGGTAGTGACGCTGATGAGTGCGGATCGGGAGAAGGATTCCGGTGAGAGGGGGAACCGTTGGAGTGAGGAGGATGAGACAGAGGATGGGGCGGAGCATCTGAGGCTGGGAAGCTGGCGGGTGCGGATGAAGGCCGATCATCGGGCGCCCGCCCACCCTCCGCCGGAAGCAGGTCACGGCAGCGCGCCTCCACCGCCGTCCTATAGCAGCAGCGGCGCCGGCCAGAAGCGCTCGTGCCCCCGCCCCCCCAGCCTCGCGCCCGCTGCTCGGGGGACGAAATCTATACATATCCACTGCTCCCTGGCCAGGCCCATCCTGAACCCAGGAGCTGTGTATACGCCCTCCTGGCCAAACCAGGAGGGCGTGGCGTATACACAGCTGCTGTGTTCATGATGGGCCTGGCCAGGGAGCAGTGGATATGTATAGATTGCGTCGCCCTACGCTGCCCCTCTCTCTGTGTCTTTTGGAGAGGAGGATTTGGGGTCTGATTGTGATGGCGATGGCTCACGGTGATGACGATGACGGCAAAGAATGACTATGGTCATCATACGCACGACGATGATGCCACCGATGATGACCACGATGGTGATGATGGTGACGGTGATGGCGAAGTCGTTTTCAAGTGTGATGACGACGACGACGATGCGAGATGAGGATGAGGATCGTGACACGGATCAGGATATTGCTGCTGCTGCCGATGATGGGAATGGCGATGATGCCTCTGATGATGTGTTTACGATGATAGTGGTGCTGCTGATGTGATGCTAACGATGCCGACTGTTCTCGTTATCGATATCATGATGGCAATGCGGCTGACGACGACGAAGGTGGTGATGATGATAACGATGACGATGAGGGTGACGATGCCGATGCTGATTATGATGATGCTCATGATGATGATGATGATGATGATGATGATGACGACGATTCAGATTATGATGATTCTGCTGGTGATGATGCTAATGACTGATGATGATGCTAATGATGCTGCTAATGATGATGCTAATGCTGCTTATGATGATGCTAATGATGCTAATGATGATGCTACTGATGATGCTAATGCTAATTATAATTGTTGCTAATGATGCTAATTATGATGCTACCGATGATGATGATGATGATGATGATGCTGATGATGATGATGATGATGATGATGATGATGCTGATGATGATGATGATGATGATGATGATGATGATGGTGATGATACTGCCGCTGCCGCCGCTGCCGATGACGATGATGCTGATGATGCTGATGTTGCTGATGATGCTGCTAATGATGATGATGATGATGATGATGATGCTGATGATGATGATGATGATGATGATGATGATGCTGATGCTGATGCTGATGATGATGATGATGCTGATGATGATGATGATGATGATGATTATGCTGATGAAGATGCGGATGCTATTTAAGCTGATGCAGACGACGAAGGTGATGGTCATGATGCTGATGATGACGATTCCGACTATGACGATGATGATGCTGCTGCTGATGATGATGATGGTGTCGGTGGTGATGTTGGGGCTGCTGCTGATGCTGATGCTGATGCTGTTAATCATGATGACGACAATGACGATGCCGCTGATGATGATGATGGCAATGACGCTGCCGCGGCCGCCGCCTCCGATGATGATGATGCCGATGCTGATGATGCTTATGATGATGATGATGATGATGATGATGATGATGATGATGATGATGATAATGAGGAAGAGGATGCGGATGATGATGATGCTGATGATGATACTTATGCTGTTGCTTATGCTGCTGCTGATGATGCTGCTGCTGATGATGATGAGGATGCTGCTGCTGATGATGTTGTTGTTGATGATGATGGTGGTGATGATGACACTGATGATACCGGTGCTGCTGACGATGATGCTGATGATGATGCTGATGCTGACGATGATGAAGAATCTGATGATGATGCTGATGATGATGATGATGATGATGATGATGATGATGATTATGATGATGCTGATGCTGATGCTGATGCTGATGCTGATGCTGATGCTGATGCTGATGCTGATGCTGATGCTGATGCTGATGCTGATGCTGATGCTGATGATGATGATGATGATGATGATGATGATGATAATGATGATGATGATGATGATGATGATGATGATGACGATGATGATGATGATGATGATGATGATGATGATGATGATGATGATGATGATGATGATGATGATGATGCTGATGATGATGATGATGATGATGATGATGATGATGATGATGATGATGATGATGATGATGTCGATGAACGGCGACGAATATGATGATTCTGCTTTGTCGCCACATCCGCAGACCCCTTTATTTAATCGCTTCGCTCACTCCGACGGCCCGTATTGTGCCATCGCAGGCGTTTGCTTGCGCGTTCGTGGCCTCTTGGAGGCCGTTTGAGGGTCCCTTGGATCTTCTTTTTGGGCCCATTGGCGGTATTTCTGGGACCTCTTGGGGCGTCACGGGGGCCTCTTGTGGGCCTCTCGGTGGTCTCTTGGGGTCTCTCGGGGGCCTTCTGGGGGCTTCTTGGGGGCTTCTTGGGGCATTCAGGGGACCTCTCTGCGCCTAGAGCTCGAAATGTCTGTTCGGTTCCCTTGTCTGGGCCCGCTCTTGAAGCCGTCTTGGGAGCCGCTTCGGCCATCTTGGAGGCCTCTGGGGCTGTTTTGGTGCCCTCTGGGGCAGTTTTGGGCGCTCTTGGAGGCCTCTTGGGCTGTGTTGAGGCGATCCTGGAA